AAGCTTAGTTTATTTTGCTTTTAAATCTAAATAAACCATTCACTCACCAGTAATTTACAATTGCCATATGAGATGCGTTTGATACATATCTAAAGACAACTACAATTGTGCAGCAATTTTGACAGGTTTTCAATGTAATATCCTCAAATAAATAATATTGCTTTACACTGTATTGAACCTAGCCCTCTTTTGGAATTGTACTCTATTCGTTCTCATCTTACTTGGATGTGTGCGTGTTAATGTGATGTAGCTTGATATCTAAGAAAGGTAAGGAATTGTGTTCTTCCATTTTGTATGTAAATTCTGTGTGTTCAACTTTGTTTAGTTAATCTAAGTCCCCAAAATTCTAAAATCCATGTGTGTGTGTGTGTGTGAGAGAGAGAGAGAGATTTAAATCTGTGAAATGCAGATTATAGTCTCCCTTAGAAATGTACAGAAGGTTCTATATTCAGTTTAAATGATTGCTTTTTCATTTTACTCTTATTGTTCACCCAATAAAAGCCCAAGATCCACTCAAGGTAGAGGGTTACTGAATTGTGTTGTTTTATGAATGTAAGAATTGTCAATTATTAGGAAACGTAGGATAGATAACAGTTGACCCTAGATTTGAATAGGTTAAGATTGGCGTGGTTGTAGAAGCATCCCCTTGGGAGTCTGTTCCATAACGGAAGAAACTGTCCAAATGGAAATTCCTTCTTATTAATGGAATACAAAGGAAATTAGGATGTTTTGCCCTTGTATATGTGGCATGGCAGGTTGTAGTATTGATTACTGTGATATACGACTTTATGACATTTTGAAAGTATTCATGTTTTAAATACAAAAAAAATAAAAATAAATAATTTTTAAACAAATTTCTGCCTCAAATTAGACCCCCTTTTTTCATTTGTACTTTTATCAATTATATAACCTAACTTATTGTGCATATCCTAGAAATATAATTTTCACTGGATCTTATCAAGGTTGACTATAAAGATAATAATTTAGAGAAGACAGTTATGGGGGGAGTGGTCGGTGAAAGTGTTCACTTGCTTTCTCTGTCATCCAACATAGCGTGCTTGTGATAAGAGAGTATGATGAATTGGAATCAAATACAGATCGGAATCTGACAAAATGATAAGATAAAGAACAAATAGGAAATGTTTATCAATCTAACATGTTTCACTTTTATTAAAACTTACGTACATGATGCAAACCAATTCATCTTTGACAAAGTTTTAATAAAAGCGAAACATGTTAGATTGATAAATGTTTCCTATTTGTTCTTTACCTTATCATAAGAGAGTATTATGAAGATATCTGGTGTTGGAGAAGAGTGCTGGGAGACATGGATTCATGCCTTTTCCCTAAAAGTATAGAGTGAGTATAAACAGCATTAGTCAGAATTTTAACTCCTAATTTTAGACCTGTCCATTTCCAATGCTAGTGTTAAATTTTGTACCACAGACAAAATCTTTAATTTCAACTGTTGTTTTTATTTTATTTTGTAAAAGTACAAAATTGTGGCACAAGGCCGAAAAAGGGGAGGGGTAACGACTGGTCTTCACTATCTTATACCTAGCTAATCTGACTAATTTCAACTGTTGTTTACCAACTCTATTTTCCATACTGTTAACTTTTTATGCCACCTCAGTAATATTAAATCTGAGTTTATTGATAGTTTTGGGTCTTTCCCTATCATATCATTTCATGTAACAGACCCTGCCATTGCAGATAAATGGATTTGTGGCAAGTATAACAGATATGAACATGAAAAATGGAATTGAAGAATGGGCAAGTCTGTTGCATTCACTTTCAAACTGAAACCCTTGGGAAAGGCATGAATCCATCTCTTTTCTCTCAAGCTATGAGTTAAATAACAGGGTAGACTGGGTTGTCTAGTCTTGAGTGACATCCAGTCTAAGGAAAACCCCATTCTAAACTGTAGAGAAATCAACACAAACCCACTTATCTTTCCCAAAAATGTATGGCAATTCACAAATATTAAAGAAAGAATATTGTGGAGAGCCATGATCACCTATATCCTGATGAAACATATTAATAAACCAGAGAAATATATCTTGGGTGTCTTATTAGTTGCCAACTGTTAGATATGTACCAAAGGTCATAATGTACTATACTCAACATGGAACAGACACCACTTATTTCTTGTGAATGTATTTGTATCCAACTGTTATTGTAACAAAAACTTCCAGTTACTGAACCCATATCTTCCTGGCCTTAGTTTAAATTAACATCTTTCTATACACTGTGACGTATGCTACTTATTTTGATTTCTTGATCATGGCAAATTCTATTGGTATCGGTTTTGATTCACAGCCAATTTATATGCTATTTAACCCCCCCCAACCCCCCAGAGTAAGCGAGAGAAATACAGTGAAAGAAAACAACAGAGATAGAGAGAGAAACAGGAGAGTGATGTAATTATTATGTCAGGCTTTCATTTGATACCTGTCATAGAGCAAATGCCTTTTATCGTTTTCCTTTTTTTTAATGAGCTATCTTTATCTGTCTCAATTGGAGTATTTCGTTTTACAAATTTTTTCCATTTTGCTGAAGCAGACATTAAACATAGGAGAGCATTACCTTCCTTCCTTTTTCTCACAAATAGCATCTCTGATATGTCTTTTCTGTCCATTATTTATGAGTTATTGGTAGGACGTAACATAGGTGTTAACTAGTGGACGAATTAAGGAATGAGAAAACATGGGGAATTAATCTCATTTCAAAGCTTTCAAGTTGAATAAATTCTTCAACATGAATTAGCAAAAGTATCAATAAAAAATATAAAAATCATGAGAGCGAATAAAAGTCAATAAAAATATAAAGAAAATTCATCTGGAAAAAAAAAAAGAAAAGAAAAAAATGGTAATGTTTAACTTTCGCGCCCACAAAAAAAAAAAAAAAATGTCGTCATAAGGACAGTTATTCCTTGACACCACTATTAGTGTATACACAATTGATTCCCTCCACATCTGTTTTAAAAAGCTATGAAGAAAATTTTAATAAAACCCAACCAAATGCAAGTAGATTTATACCTTTTCTTTATTCTGGAGAAATGACAACAAAGATGTTAAACACTATTTATTTATTAAATTGTTTATTTAATCAGTCATATTTTCTTGGCATTTTCTTTTTTTTAAATTAGCAACAATTCAAAAATTTAAAAAAATAATTATTGTAGTTGGTATATATTTTTTGATTAAAATAATTTATTTCAAATTTGTTTCTTTATAAAATGGTAAATAATAAATCTTTATAAAAAGGTAAATAATAAATATTGCATTGTATTTGATTCACTTATTTCTATAATGTTGTAAATAAACATTGCCAAGGGAGTCAAAAGTGTATACAGTAATAGCAGTATCAAGGGAATAACTATCCTTTTGACACTTTTTTTGCAGGCAGAAACAATCTACCAAAAAAATGACTTTTCAGCTTTGATGATAGCAAGGTACACGTCAGAATAGCTGACCTCTAAAAAAAAAAAAAAAATAAAATAAATAAATAAATAACTTTACATTTAATTCATTTAGACAGTTTTTTTTTTCATATTTATGAGCAAAACTATGTAGAACAAGTTTTTATTTTCATGTCCCCCAATGTCTAAATCATAAATCATCTCAAAAATAAAAATTTATTAGTTAATCTTTCTAGCTTAGGATGTGCAGGTATTGTAACATGGAAAGTCGAATCAAGTTCAAATTCCAGGCTAGTCTGTTGTGTTCACTTTTGTATTGATAACAAAATGGAAAAGACATGAATCTGTCTTTTCTCTGCCAAGTTATAGGGTAAAGAGCAGGGTAAGCTGTGCTCCTGAGTGGCAACTAGTCTAAGGAAAACTGAATTCTAAACTGTAGTGAAGTCAACAGGAAATGACTCCACTATCTTTCCCAGGAATGCCTGACAATTCACAGATAATAAAGGAATCTGTGGAGAACCATGATTGCTTCTGTCTTGAAAGGTCATGGCATTAAAGAAAAAGTTTAGCTTCTGGATATTTAAATCTGCAAGATCAAATATTGCAACTTATATTATTAACTTACTTTGTAACATCTACACATTAAATCCATGTGCAATGGTGCACTGACTGATTTTTTTTTGTTGGTGGGGTGGTGAATGGTGGCAGGAGTAAAACATCCTGTGTTAGTAAAATACCACTGAAGTTTATAAACAAATAAAATACAGAATAGTTAAATAAAATAACAAATTTATCAATTGGGTAGTTTTTTTTCGTTTTTTTTTTTTTAAATAAAAATATTTGTTAAATATATGTGTAAATTATTTAAATACTATCTGAATAGAACCAAGGCTTTTATTTTATTTTTTCTCTTTCAAAATTTGAGTCATACTGTTGATTAGGGGTATTTTGAAAACTTTAAAGGTTTCCATGATACCATTAATGTTTTTCATTCAACAGGCTGTCACACAACCCCATGAAGCACCCAGTGAGTGACAACCACCTGAGCAATGTGATAAATTATCTGAAAGAGAGGCTAGTGCTTAGCAGTGTTCTTAACTAGTGACAGACTGAGACTGGCTGACAGCGGGCCGACTGACCGACCGAGACTGGCAGACAGCGGGCCGACCGACCGACCGAGACTGGCAGACCAGCGGGCCGACCTAATCGAGACTGGCAGACAGCGGCCCGACCGACCGACCGAGACTGGCAGACAGGCGGGCCGACCCGACCGACCGACCGAGACTGGCAGACAGCGGGCGACCCGACCGACCGAGACTGGTAGACAGCGGGCCGACCGACCGACCGAGACTGGCAGACAGCGGGCCGACCGACCGACCGAGACTGGCAGACAGCGGGCCGACCGACCGACCGAGACTGGCAGACAGATTGAGATAAATTGATGGCTCATGTCTACTTTTTGATTCAAGTGTAACTGGGCTTACAGTCATTGCCTAATGCAGATGCACAACAAACTGCTGCAGTGTGGATTCATCAGAGGACAAAATGTTTCTGCATTGTCCCTCTGTCCAATAGTTTA